AAATATGGTTGTAATCATAGAGTCCATGTATTTTCTACATTGCTGGATAGTTTTTGAAATACATTTTATAGTTGTATATTATTCTATTGAGTACCATCATTTTCTGAAACATCCTTTTATTATTGGGCATTTGGGTTGCTTCTGCCACTTTGCTGTTGTGAATAATACCTTTTCCATATTGGGTGATTTTCTGACAGTTGATACTGAGAATGAGGTGATTGGATCAAACATTGTTGTGAACACTGATGCACCCCTCTTTAATTATGGGGTGGGTGTAGTGACTAGATTGGAGGGGTAGGGCAAGTTGGAGTCTGGGATAACTTGCAAGTTTCTGGCTTGTGTGATGTTGGGGATGGTTGGCAAAGAGGGGTTCCATTTGGGATGTGGGGCATCCAGGCAGTGAGGGAGGTTCAGCAGACCGTTGAATGCAGAGCCTGGAGCCCCAGGAAAAGCCAGGCCCTGGGGTCCAGATGAAGGGATCATGGGCATCTAGGTGTGGTTGAAGCTGTGAATAATGTTAGGAGCAGTTAGGGGTGGAATGGGAAGAGAGGAAGGTGGATTGTAGAACTCTGGAAAACACATTTTGTGACAGGTAGAGGAAGGAGATGCCACTAAGGAAAACAAGGAGCGGCCAGGGTGGAAATGGCTGCACATAGCCAGCGTGGGAGAGAGTTGCAGCAGGCGACATACAGGTGGTTACATTTTATTTGAGGTGGTTTTAATGGCATGTGCTGAGTGATGAGAGACTAGGAAGGGTGGTAACTGTCAAAGGTAGGCCGCATCAGAAACTTTAGCTGCAGAGAGGAAGGAGGCAGAGGTAGGCAGCTGCTAGAAGGGGTTGTAGGAAGGTGTGTGTTTCCTAAGGCTGCTGTAACAAAATCTGACAGACTGGGTGGCTTAATAGAATTTTATTTTCTCACGGTTCTAGAGGCTGGAAGTCCAAGATCAAGATGTCAACAGCTTTGTTTTCTTCTGGGGCCTCTCTCCTTGGCTTGCAGATGGCTGTCTTCTCACTGTGTCCTCACGTGGTTGTCCCTCAGTCTGTCTTGTCTGTGTCCTAATTTTCCCTTCTTATAACAGCCCACCCT